TCTGTAGTGGCTGCACCCGTTTACATTCCACCAACAGTGAAGGAGTGTTCCCTTTCTCCACACCCTTTCCAGCATTTGCTATGTGTAGACTTTTTGATGGTGGCCACTCTGACCGGTGTGAGGTGGTACCTCACTGTGGTTTTGATCTGCATCTCTCTGATAATTAGTGAGGCTGAGCATCTTCTGACGTGCCTGTTGGCCATCTGTATGTCTTCTTTGGAGAGATGTCGAATTAGGTCTTCCTGGCAGAGCTTTTCACCTTAGACATCTGACTCCAACACACGGACTTGGATCTGGGGCTTTGGGCGCAGGACGGAGAGATATAAGCCTTGTATTTTTCTCAATCCGTTTTTTTAAAAGATATAATTTGCATAAAATAAAATTGACTGGTTTGATGAGTTTCAACAAGTGTACGCAGTAACCACAATTAAGATTTCTGATATTGATACTTGGTGTCTTCTCCCTTTTTTCTTGATCAGACCAGCCAGAGATTTATCTTATGGCCCATTTCAAAGAACCAGCCTTTCGGTTCATTTTCTCCATTGCTATTCCATTTTTTTTTATCTCTTTGATTTCCGTTTTTTAGTATTTCTTTCCTTCTGCTTACTTTAGGTTTCATTTGCTCTTTTTTAGTTCCTTCAGGTAGAAAATTAGACCATTGTTTTGAGTCCTTTCTTCTTTTCTAATGTAAGCATGAAATGCTATACACTTCCCTGTAAGTAACTGCTTTCCACACATGTCAATGTGCTGTGTGTTCATTCCTGTCCAGTTCTACTTTACCTTTCTAATCCTCCTTTGACCCGTGGGTTATTTAGAATTGTGCTGTTTAGTTTGTTTCCAAGTATTTGTGTGATTTTCCAGATATCTTTGTTATTAAATCCTAGTTTAGCATCGTGATCAGAACATATTTTTTATAATTTCAATCTTTTGAAATTCACTGAGACATTCATTTTTTGAAATTCATTGACCCAGAATATAGTCAATTTTGGTGCATATTCTGCCCAAACCTAAAAAGAAAAACTAAAAAACAAATCTATTCTGCTGATATTCAGGGGGAGTGTTTTATAAATCTCAATTAGATTAAGTTGATTCATAGTATTGTTCAAATCTGCATGCTTATTATTATTTAATCTACTTGTTCTATCAATTATTGAGAAAGGAGTATTGATGTCTCCAACCATAATTTTGGATTTGCCTATCCTTCCTTGCAGTTCTATAAATGTTTGCTTTATGTATTTTGAAGCTCTGTTATTACATGCATAGACATTTAGGATTGTTATCTGTTCTTGATTAATTAACCCCTCTATCATTATACTTGGTAATAGCTGGTGATCAAAAGTCTATTTTGACAAAGATTAGTGAAACCACTCCAGTTTTCTTTTGATTATTGTTTGCATGATGTATCTTCTTCCATCCCTTAACCTGTCTGTGACATATTTGAACTGGATTTCTTGGGGACAGCATAGACTTGAGTCTTGCTTTTTTAATACAATCTGACAGTCTCTTCTGTTTGATTGGGGTTCTTGGACCATTTAGTGTGATTATTGATAGTTGAGTTTAAATTTACAATCTTATTTTTTATTTATCATATCAGTACATTGCTCCTTTTCCTCTTTGAGTTTTCTTATTTTAAATTAATTGGATATTTTAATATTTTGTATTTTCTCCATTATTGACTTACTACATATGTCTTTTTGTTTTTTTTTCTTAGTGGTTGGTCTAGTGTTTACAGTATAAAACTGTGACATCACAGTTTGCCTTTAAACACCACTTACCAGGTCAGGATTGGAGTGACACCCTTAGGAGAGCAGGTTCTCATCCTTTGTGCTGTTGTGGTCACACGTGTCAGAACTACATGCATCAAAAACACCACAAGATGTTGCTACTACTTTTCTTTAAACAGTTATCTTTCAAAGGGACGTTTAAATGAAGGGAAATATCTTTTATGTTTATCTAAATAGTTACTACTTCTGGCTGTCTTCATCTCTTTATGTAGATCTACGTTTCCATCTGAATTCTCCTAGCTTTGGTTTATCAGAACAAGTCTTGTGTCCCACCTTCCACTTCAAAAGATATTTTCAGTGGATATAGATTTCTAGATTGGCAGTTCTCCCCAGAACTTTGGAGAGGTTTTATTGTCTTCTGGCCTGCATGGTCTCTGATGAGAAGTCAGGTGTTACAGTATTCTTATTTTTTTTCTCTTTATGAGGAATGAGTCTTTTTTTTTTTTTTCTCTGAAGTTGAGATTTTCTCTTTATCTGATTTTTAGCAATTTGATAAAGATGTACTATTATGTAGTTTTCTTTATGTTTCTCCTGATTGGAGTCTGTTAAACTTCTTGGATTTGTGGGTTTATTGGTTTCACCAAATACGGAAACATTCTGGTCATTTTTTCTTCAACTATTTTCTTCCTGCCTCAACCCTCCCGGGACTGCAATTCTGCTTAGGCTAGAATGCTGGCTATTCTCCCACAGCTCACTGAGTTCCATTGTTTGCTTTTGTTTCTTGATGTTGCTGTCTTTATTTATTTGAGTTCCATTTGCTTCAGAAATTCCATTTGGGTTTTTTTTTTTTTTTTTTGCAAGTGTTATTGAGGTGCAGTTTACCTCAAGTAAAACTCTCACTTTTAGTGTCTAGTTCTATGAGTTTTATAGGCAGGTACAGTCATGAAACTGCCACCATAATCAAATTGCAGAATATTCCATCACCCAAAAGCATTCCTTCATGTCCCTTTGTAGTCAAGCCCTTGTCCCCATCCCCAGCTCCTGCCAACAGATCAATTGTCTGTCCCTATAATTTTGGCTTTTCCATGATGTCATACCCTTGGAGTCATAAAATATGTAGCTTTTTGAGTCCAGGCTTCCATCAGTCAGAATAATGGATTTGAGGTTCATCCATGTTTTCATTTCTACCAGTAGTTCTTCCTTTTTGCTGCTGAGTAAGGATGTACACAGCTGGTTCATCCATTTACCACCTGAAGGACATGTGGGCTGTTTCCAGTTGTTGTGGGGTTTTTTTCTTTTTTCATTTATATGTAAAACCACTATAAACATTCACATAAAGGTTTGACTGTGAACGTAAGTTGCTGTTGTTCTTGGACAAATACCCAGAAATGAGATTGCTAAATAATTGAATATTTAACTTCATGAGAAAGGGCCAAACTGTTTCCAACATGGCTGTACTATTTTTTACTGAGTTACAGTTGCTACAATTCTCACCATTAATTGATTTTGCCTATTTGTTAACCGTTCTAATAGGCAGGAGTGCTGTCTCATTGTAGTTTTAATTTGCTTTTCACTAAAATCTAGTGCTGAGCATCTTTTTTATGTGCTTCCTTTTCATTAGTACATTTTTTTTGTGTGTGAAATATCTCTTCAAGTCTTTTGCCCATTTTTAATTCGGTTGTTCTCCTAGTATTGAGTTTTAGATTTCTTTATATATTATAGATCCATTCCTTGATCAGAAATGTGTTTTGTAGATGTTTTCTCCTAGTTTTTGCCCTGTCTTTTCATTTACTTAACAGTGTCTTCTGAAGAGCAGAAGATAGTAACCTAGATGAGAACTAATCTAACAATGTTCTCTCATGGATCATGCTTTTGGTGTAATGTCTTTGCATAACCCACATTCACATGTAATTCCTCCCATGTTTTTATAGTATTGGGCTTTACATTTAGGCCTATGGTCTATTTTTAGTTAAGCTTTGTATAAGGTGAAAGGTGTGAAGTTTCTTCTGTGTATATGGAAATCCAGTCTTCTAGAATCATGTGTAAAAAGACTATCCCTTCTACACTGAATTGCCTTTAATCCTGTTTCGAAAATCATTTAGGCACATATGTGTGGGTCCATTTCTGAGCACTCTGCTGGGTCCTATTGGGCTATGTGTGTACACGTTCACAGGCACTACACCGTCTTCACTGCTGTGGTTTTATGTATGGTGAGCCTTGAAATCAGGGAGTGTGAGTCCTCCAAGTCTTCATTTTCAAAATTCTTTTGGCTATTTACTTGCTTTAGCTTTCCATATAAAATTTTGAAGAGCCATGACATTTTGTACAAAATCGTATAAAAATCAGGATTACATTGAGTCTGTAGACCAATTTGGATAGAACTGACAGTAATAGTCTTCTAATGTCAATATTTTATTTAGATTTTATTTGAATTCTCCAAGTGTTTTACAATTCTAAGTATACAGAACATGCCTAATCTTGTTATTTAAATATATCATGGTTTTGGTGCCATTATAAATAGTATTTAAACCTCAGATTCTACTCGTTCCTGGCCAGTGTATACAAAGATCTCTCTCACTATATGGATAATAGAGAAAACATGAAATGTTTCTGGTAGGTTGTGTCATAGTGAAGTCAAATCCTAGGATACGAAACTTATTTAATGATCTAAACAGGGGATTGGCACTCTTCTCCTGCAAATACAGCCCCAATAGTAAATATTTTAGGTTTTCCAGGTCATAAGGTCTCTGATATAACTACTCAGCTACTACTTTGGCTGCTGTAGGTTTAACAAAACATAAATGAACGGCTTGGCTGTTTTCCAATAAAGCTTTATTTACAAAAATGGGTTGCAGGCTGGATCTGGCCTGTGGATTGTAATTTGCTGCCTTCTGACCTAAACCGACTTCTCTGTTGTGCTGCAATCTCAGGGCTCTAAATGCTGGTCCATCCAGGTATCGGGAAGTAGATGAGCTGCAAGGGGTTTGGTCATGCTCTTATCTTAGGTCAAACAGAGGCTGATAACCCCAGGAGAGAAGGATGATTCAAAAACTCATCAGGCTGTAACCCCGTGACAGGCGACACCAGGACACTGCGTACCACTGGCTCCAGGTTGCAGTCTGCAGAGTCCACAGCAGCAGCTCATACCCACTGCACACACACGTGTGCACACACACACTGCACAGTTCACACATGCATGCACACTGCACCCATGCACACACGGACACACGTGTGCGTACACACTTCTCAAGTCTCAGACTAAGGATGACAAACATATTTAATCAATGCCCAAAATACCTTTATGTATGTATAAACAAGTTAAATTTCCCTTGACTTAAAGACTGCTATCACGGCCTTCCCTGCTTATCCTGGAGATGGGAATGGTGAGAACACGTGTCTGAATCCACAGGGAAGCAGCAGTGTGGCTGAATGCAGAGACAGGGCCGAGAGAGAGCCAACGCACTGGGTGGTCTTCTAAAGAACCTGCATTCTGACGTGGGATAAAGCCAGCTTTCCCTCCCCCCGATGTTCGGTCCTCTGCCCGAGCGCAAACACAGGTTGCGCAGGAGCTAAGAAGGACACGTTCCCAGGTGGGTCTCAGGCTTGGCTGGATCCTGAGCCACAAGGAGGTGAGACGCAGGCCGCCGAGTCCACAACACCCGAAGGTCAGCAGAACGGAGGCTACAGAATGTTTACTTTTATTTTCCTTTCGACGAGGCAGCACCGTCTCCCGGGCAGGGATTTCCCAGCCCGAGGGCTACATGTGTCTCTGCTTGTGCTTCGGGTTGGTCTTGCAGTAGACGAACCAACGCCCGCGCCTCTTGACCAGGTAGCAGCCCTTGCACCGCTTCTTGAGGACGCCCTTGGTCTTGAAGCCCAGGGATGGCTGCTGCAGGCCGAGTACCAGGCGCGCGGAGAGGAGCGCGGCCGCCGGGCTGGGGGGCGCACCGACCTGACGGCAGGCGCGCGGGTGGCACGGCGCGAGCGAGGAGAACGGGAGGCCACCCAGGTGCAGCAGGGGGCCCACGGCGGAAACCACTTTCCTTAGGAGAGCGGTGGCCATGTCGCGGCTGGATCTAGGGAGAAAGAGGAAAAGTTGTCACAGCTGCCGGTCCTGCCCCCGAGAAAACCTCCTTCCCCGCGTCCCTGCCCTCGGGACACAGGCCGCGGGTCCGGGAATCTGCGCGCCTCCCGGGAGGGCACGAGAGCGGCGAGCAGCACCGTGTCTCCGCCCGGCGCCGAGACCCCCACCCGGCCGCCGGGGCCAGACGAGGCCCGCGTCCACGTAACCCCGTGGCGGCCGGGCCGCGGGCTGGAGCAGAGGGCACGAGGTCCGGAACGGTGCCCGGCTAGAAGGGATCACCCGTGCGGTCGCTTCCCACCGCAGTGACCTCCGCCCGCGTCCCACCCGGGCAAGCCGAGGCCAGGGGTCCCCAGAACGCGCCCTTCCTGAGCCCGGAACCCCCGCCGCCTCCCCTGCCCCTCGGGACCCCCGGAACACCCCACGACCCCCACCTTGAAAGAGTGAGTCCGGGCTCCCCAGCAGCCCGCCTCCCCAGCCCCTGCGCCTGCGCCCTCGGTAGCGCCTGCGCAGTGGGGCGGAGATGCCGTCGCCCGCAGTGTCCGCCAGGAAGGAAGATGGCGGCAGGGTCACGTGGCGGTCCCCTCGGGGCTGGGAGCAGAGGCGGAGCCACGTGGGTGCGGGAGGCGGAGCGCCGGGCTCCTCCCCGGCTGCTTGCCTTTCCCCTCCCCGGTCCTCTGCATACCCAGCCCGCCCCCCACTCTCGGGACCCTGCGCCCTCCTCCCGGGACTACCCCAGCCCTGTGGGCCACCGGGCGGCTAAGGTTTGGGGGGCGCTCCCGGGGGCGGGGGAGGGATGAAAAATGGGAACAAAAGTAGGTATTTTGAATGAAAAAGAAGTCACAACCAAGTAGACTTTTTAAAAAGCTGATAAATATCAATGTCAAAACAAAATCTAGAAAAATCTCATGTTTGTATTAAGTGGACATCCTGGGAGAAATGTGGCGAGGCTCAGGGGAACGCATGGTAATAGGCCCTGGTTCTAACTGACTGCAGTTAAATTTATTTCCTCCAACATCTTATTATGAAAACTTTCAAACACAGAGAAAAGTTGAAAGACACTGATGGCGAACACCCACGTACCCACTGCCCAGATTCCACAGTGAAATCGCCACACATGTCTTTCCAGGCTGTGTCTGCGTGGACACAACTACTTTCCACGCACACGAAGGTGAGCTGCACACGGGGTGCACCTGCGCGCCGCCCTGGCACCGCACGCGCACCCCTGACCCGGCTGCAAGCTGTGGCCCCTGCCCAGGTGAGCTCGGGCCTGCCTCTGAGCATGCGTCCGTGGACACCTTTCCGATCCGGGAGGTATTCTGGGCACTGTCGCCTCTCATCGCCACACCGCCCTGGAGTCCAGGCTGTGGGTGCCCTCAGCTCCTGGGCAGTGGGATGCGCGACTCCACCCCAGCTCTGGGACTGCTCCCTGTGCCCACCGCCATCGCCCATCGGGGGCTGGCCGTGTGAGCTGACCATCCCGACGGGTCTCTGCACAGGCCGTTTGGAGGAGGCCATGAGGGGCAGGAGAGAAGCAGGGCCGGGGCCGCGAGCCAGCGTCCTGCTCAGGTGTGCTCCAGAGCAGCGGGCCTTTCGGGGCTAACCTGCATGAGGGATGCCGTCGGCTGCGCTTTACTGGCAGTTTCACTGGGCTCTGCTGCAGAAACCCCAGAACCACAAAGAAATGCGCTCTGTCCAACATGATGTACTTCCAGTTTCCTCTAAGCAAGGACTCATCTCCAACATTCACAACATTCAACATTAACTCCCCATGATTATCCGTTACCATCGAAGGTAAGCACTGCATCTTCCGTTTCCATCCTCCCCTGCCCTGCCCCTGGTAAGTGGAGCATCACTAAGTTCTAAGGTTGCGCGGAGCGTCCCCCCTTATCCGGGCTGAGCCCCCGCCCGCCGCTGCACCAGCCGGCCGCACCTGCCTGACCGCACCGCGCGTGCGTGCCTCACCGGGCGAGGTAAATCCGGGCCGGGGGCGGAGGGGGTGGTGGTGCTGTCCCTGCGGACGCCGTGCGCATGCGTCGGCGCTCGGAGCGTCGGTGCGCGGGGTCGAAGGTCAGCCTGAAAGATGGCGGCGGCGGTGACCTTCCTCAGGCTGCTGGGCCGGGGAGGCGCGGCGGCGCGGAGCCTGCCCGGGGCCGCCAGGTGCTTCGGGGTGCAGACCTCGCCGGCCGGGGAGAAGGTCACGCACACCGGCCAGGTAACCCCTGCGGCGCGGAGAGCGCCCTCCCCCTCGGGGCGCCCAGGTGGGCGGAGCCCCGGCTCGGCCCCCGTGTCCCCGGGTCCAGCGCCCCGGTGCCCCCTGTGCCCCAAGCTCAGTGCCCGTGGTCCAGTCGTCCAGCACCCCGGTCCCTCCTGTTCCCCCGGCCCAGCACCCGGGTCCCACGGTCCAGCCCCTCGGGGCCCGGGGCCCCGTACCCGCAGTCCAGTCCCCCAGTGCCCCAGACGCCCCAGACCCAGCGCCTGCGGTCCCGTCCTCGGTCTCCCCCTCCGTCCGGGGCCCCGGGCCCACTACCCGCAGGGGTACCGAGGGGCTGTCTGCAGCCACTGTGGTCTCGTCCTCGCAGCGAACTCGGATACAAGACTGTGATCCCGGGGTAGCGCCTTGGTTACTGTGGGGAGAACTCCGGTGGAGTCAGAAATTAGCAATTCTGTGCGTCCGATCTCCTGTTTGTGGAATGTTGAATACCACATTTTAGTAACTCGAGGGTCCGCTGTCGAGTTACTGAAATACAAACCCGGCGTTAGGCTATGATCCTCAGCCCAAAGATGAGGGAGTGAGTACCTGTGTTGCTAAAAAAGGCCACGGAGCAGGTTCAGAGAGGAAGGAAGCTCCGGGGCCTCTGGGATCGAAGGCGGATGTCCCCCTCCGCCAGGACTCCTCTCCTCTGCTCCTTCCCTACCTTTTGCTACTTCCAGTTCAGACTACTGCCTGACGTCCCGTTAGGAATCCTGCTGGAAAATGCCCCTGGGTGCGCAGCTACGCTTACTCCTGGCGTGTGTGATCGTGAATGGCCTAAACGTTAAGAAAACACATTTCCTGAAACGTTTATGATTGGTATAAGATACGGAATCGGGCCGTAAAAAATCACATACGGTCTTTTTCTTTTCAGGTTTATGGCAATAAAGACTACAGGAAAGTTCGATTTGTAGGTCGTCAGAAAGAGGTGAGTGAAAGGTCTGGCAAAAGAGAGGTGAGCTTTCTAAAACTTTTTATAACGAAGAAGAAATAAATACTAATCTGTAAAATTTAAGTAAATTCTCCCCAAATTGTGAGCACTCTAGAATCTCTGGAATTCTGCATTTCTTCTACATGTTAAACACGTCCAGTTCTGTTTTGGTCTTTTCCCCCTGAGATATGTAACACGACATCTTGTGCGTATAGTTTTAGCTTACGTGTAAATGGGAGTGACCTTTTCTTTCACTTCTGTGCCTTATACTTGCGAGACTCTCAGGTTAAAGCAGAGTCACATCAATGTTTTAAAATTACTCTTTCAGTCACTTTTTGGAGTATGTTTTCCGTGGTTCACAGTGTATAGATTAGGCTGGTTCTTTCAGGGACTTTCGCTGACAAGCTGAAGACAGCACATGGGTGGGTCTTCCCTGAGTGGGTCTGAAACACCAGTGCAACCGCTGGACACTGGAATCCTTTCGCCTCGGTGGCCTGCTTTCTTCCCACTTCCTCTCTCCCGTGCCTGCCACCTCAGAGGGAGTCCTCACCGCCCTGGCTCAGGCCTCCCTCCACCCCTCCCCAGCAGTCACCTGGCGTCACTTCTCCCCTTCAGGCAGCCTGTTGATTCTTCCTGCCACCCTCAGCTGTCCCTAAGTCGCATCTCCCCTCCCTTTGACCTTGGTTACGTTGTCCATCCCCAGGGTCTGGTTTCCTACTTCCCACTTTGAGGGTGTCGTGGGGTGAGGAGTCTGGCCCCCTGGATGGAGCAGTTCCAGCAGGTGCGTCCTGAAGCCCTGGGGTCGACCCTGCCCCTGGCTTTCCATCTCAGCCTGTCACACTCCTCTCTCCTGGGAATTCTACCGTGGCTTCTGGTTTCTGATTGCCCTCGCTGGGGACAGACATCAGGGAGCAACTTAAACACCGAACCAGACATTCCAGAGTTCGTGAGGCCAGTAACGTGTGAATGGAGGGGGCAGTGCTGGTGATGTCGCCTCGCTCAGACCGTCAGCTCACCGCAGTCCTGAACCAGCTGCAACCCTTGACCCCTCCCCCCTCGGGATCTCTGGGGCCTTTTCCTGTCCGAGATCGTGAGCGTCCAGGGGCCCATGCTCATGTAAGATGTGCAGCAGGTCTCTCCGGCTTTCATTCTTGCGACAAAAGTTTGGCGTTCAGTAGTATTTGAAAATTTTTTTGGTTTCCAAGAGACTGTTGTTTTAAAAGACCTTTAGGCATGCTGAAAGGTTGCACAGAGAGTAGGAGTTCCTATATCCCTCCCCCCTCCACAGTGTCCCTGTTATTCTCCTCTTGTCTGAGTGCGCTGCCTTTGTGAGAAGGGACAGGTTTGAACACTTACTGAATACTGATACGTTGTGTTAACTCAAGTCCGTGGTTTAGGTTTATGTGGTAGGTTCACTCTTGGGGTCGTACGTTCTGTGGGTTTGGACAGGTGCATGGCGTCTCGTATCCAGCGTGGCTGCCCCTGACAACCACCGATCTTACTCTCTACGGTTTCATTTGGGTGAATTTTAAGAAATAAGCTGAACGTGTTCTTAGTCTGAGGAACGAGGAGAGCAGGAAGCTGGGCGGTCGATCCGCCTTCGCAGGAAAGGTGGGAAGCGTCCGTGTGTGGCTGCAGCGAGCCTGCCCTGGAGCCCACGGCCCTTGGCCTAGGGCCGGCCTTGTGGAGAGGAGATGCTCATGTAGAACGGGGCCCAGCCGCCGCCCCCGGGGAGGGGCAGCAGTCGGCCTGCAGCGGTCCTGTGTCACCGGAGGGGGCTAAGGGCCCAGCCGACCTCCTGTTCCTCTGCGGCGATGGAAGTATTTTTGTTACTTCACGGTTACACACGTGGAATTAAAAGCCGACGTTTCTTGCCCGTGAGTGACGGGCGCCCGCGGCATCCTCAGGCGGAGGTGGTGCTGGGCCCGGAAGTTGGTTAGCATGGCTGTTGTGCCGTGTTTGTCGGTCGGGTGGACCCTGTGGGGCTCCGTTTTCGGGGCGCGGGGCCCCCGGGCGTGGACAGCAGTGGGGACAACACAGCCACGTGTGTTCCGAGGGGGCTGCACTTCCTCACTCCCTGCTCCCTTTCCGGAAATAGGAAACCCAGGGAAAGCTTTGGGATGGCATCATGTCTAGCCGACACAGCTTTCCAAAAGCAGGAGTGTCACCCCCGCTCTGCGGGCTCAGGACGTCAGCACCGCTGGGCGTCTCGGTGGCAGCGGGTGGGAGGGCTCTGCTCCGCGGTCGGTGCTCCTGGGTGCAAGTGGATTGTCCTCAAATTGTACTAAACTAAGGGCCCCTCCCGCCGTTGTTTGTGAAGATCGATCCTTGTTTTCTTCTCTTCACTGCAGCCTCGGGCCCCTCTGGGTGCACGTGGGAGCCACGTGGCCTTGGTCCTCCGGGCCTGACGGGGCACAACACTTCTCACCATCGTGATGAGCAGATACTGGGGTTACTCACGGAGCCAGAGTCACCGTGACCTCGGGCAGCGTTTACACCCTGAGTGTTTCATCTGCGTGCTTGTCCGCAGAGGAGTCTGGAAGGGGGAGAGTGGGCCCCACCGCTGGCCGTGTTTGTCCTCTGTTACCGTGTTCCAACCCCGTGACCCTTTGGCCCCCAGAGATGGGGACCTTCGAGATGATCTTGCTGTTTTGCACCCTGAGTGTGTCAGCTGGGGTGGAATCCCGCAGCCCCATCAGAACAGATTGGGGTCTGTGTGTAGGTCCAGCCGCTGCCCGTAACGTTGGGCTTCTGCCGGGCCATGCGTGGCAGTTCCGGTTCTGGTTCCGGTTCTGGCTGCTGTGGGTGAGCATCTCCAGCTTCCTCAGCTCAGACGACATTCTGTGCCTCCCAGCTGAGTACCTGCACCGAGAGAAGCTGGCTCCCCGTGGAAGGAGGAGCAATGCGTCGCTCTCTCCCTTCTTTTACCAGCTTGAAAGTCATGAGTTGATTCCTTCCAGTAAGGAAGTCAGTGGATTTAGAGCATCTCCGTGGAAGCGCGGGGTCAAGCATCTTGTGTTTCCGTGCTTTGTGGTTATGGTGCCGTCGTCGCTCCAGTTTCCCACGTGGAGCAGCCCTTGTAGTCTGAGGCTGCCTTTCCCTCCGTCGCAACGTGGCTCAGCCTCATCTGTCACGTTTCCTGCTCGGGACCCCGAACCAGCTGTTAGTTCAGAGCCCGGTCCCCAGAGTGAAGTGGTCATGGAGACAGCGTGGCTCCTGGCCCCTGGGTCAGCTGCTGCTTCTGGTCTCTTTCAGCAGATAGAGTAGAAGAGCATGTGTGTGCGTGTGTGTCCGTGTGCACGTGTGAGAGGGAGGGTGGGGCAGGGCCAGGAGAGAACAGGTGACGCTGCACGTGGGGCGGGATGTTAACAGGGTGAATCCAGGTAGAGACAAAGGAGAGTTCTTTGTACTGTTGTAATTCTTGCAGCTTTTCTGTAAGTTTGAAATTATATCCAAATGAAAAGTTAAAGGTGTGTGTACATGTATGTAACTACTTGTGTATTTTGAGGATCTACACTGATAATATTTGAATGAAACGGTACAGAACGTGCCTTTGCTGGCAGTGTGTGCGTGTATGTGGGGGGCGGTCTACGTTGATTTAAATTCCATGAGAGCGTCCAGTGTTTGTGCTTGTCTGTACGAGCTTCTCCTGTCTGTCTTTTTCCAGGTGAATGAGAACTTTG